ATATATATATATATATATATATATATATATAGAGAGAGCGAGAGATATATATCTCAACATTACATTAGCCTATCCTGCCCTCCAGATATTGTTATTGCTTCAGCCATTGGAAAAGCCACTAGTTAGGATCAGATGTGAAATAACTGATGAAATGTGCATAACTAAAGAAAGAGAAACACATGGCACATGCATGGCAAAACACGATGAATAAGTGCTGACCTGGTCCTGTTGCTGTTTCGCTAACTCCATTTGCTGGCGCTGTTTTTCGATCTGCGAAGCGGCCAGTTTCGCTGTCCGGGGTGCCTGCAGGGGTTAAAGGGCATAGGCCAAGGGTCAAAGAACCAGTCGAGGAAGCCTTGTACCCAGATGTGCTCCTCCTGAGATGTGCTATCGCCCTGGTGTTTACCTTGCCGTCGCTACACATTTAGCATGAGCTGACCTCCGACCTGGGCTAAAGCTGAGAACGCTCTGACATACGAGCAACCCCAGAGCAGACGGCAGGAGGGGAAGACTAAATCACTCGACAGGATGTCGTTGCACAATATTACGCCAGACTACCACCAATCAAACAATGTGTGTGCTTCTGTGTGTGCTAAACCCCTAAAGCGTTCAAATGTCCAAATGAGCACATGTCTGTTAACGAGTTCATGTGTGTGCAATTGTGCGTCTGAGGTCATATATCTGTGTTAAAACACGCACACACAGACACACGTCTGCCCAGCCCCACAATCCCCCATTGTTCTCGGTCTCTACCTTCTGAGGGGCCACATTCCTCACCAGCGAAAAACAGATGATGAAGAAAGCTAGAGAAAGAAGGGAGTCATAGCAGCTGACCTGAACCTTTGCCCTGGCAGGAAGGTGAGAGTAGGCTCCATTTGTAACCCCTTCACAAACACACACACACAGACTCAACAATGCACAATAAAGGCAACTGTCACAGGCGGCCAGTTGAAAAAATAAACCTGCAGCTCCCCTTAACAGCTCCCAGACTGAGCTTTCACAAGAGGGTGTGTATCTCAGCCGGCCCGGGACAAGGGAGGGCCGTGTGTGAAAAGTGACGAGTCTTCCAGAGAAAAGAGGGATCAAAGCGATCTTTCTTTCCCACTTTCTTTCCAAGACCCTATTGCTCATACAGGGGATGGGTTAGAATGGTTAGATATTTTTCTTTACTTTTTTTTTATATTTAAATTGAAGTACTTTAAATATTCAAATGTTAAATATTTATTTAAATATTATAAACTTAATTTATATTTAATATCAATTATGCAACTAATAATGCATTGTTTGAGACTGTTTTCCAACAAAAATGTGTAGATGAATTCACAGCTTTAATGGAGATAAAGTATAACTTCCAGCTATTATTGCAAATAAAAACCTAATAAATATATGTATGTATCTTTGTAAATAAACCGTAATATTAAAAACATTTTTTACACATCTGAAATATGTTGCTAAAAGTAAAATAAAATAATTTCTTGTTTCCCATCTGGGCCAGCAGAAATAAACCTTATTGTTGTCATGCCTGGTTAGAACACATTATATAGAAAAATGTCAAATTGTTTAAAAATGTGTCTTGAGACCCCTGCACTCTGTCCAGCTGTTTTTGACAAAAAAAAATAAAAATCTCCAGTGAATGCATCTGATCATTGCTGGTGGACATACCCCTAAACCACCATTATTACATAGGGTTTACCAACTAGTCATTCAGACTACCTACCAACTAGTTTATTCTAGAAGCATTTGTAGCTTTGCACGTCCCTAGCGCAGTCAGTTAGATTCGCTCATTAAAATGTGAATAGACCTCTGACACAATATACTCTAGATGCCCTAAGTCTAGAGTTGACAGAAGGTGTTCATACACACACATAAGAAAACACGCCAGCCTCATCAATCACAACCGAAGGCTTTTTACCTCGCCTACTGAAAGTTCAGCTTTGGATCAATAAGTGGTTTCCTCTCTCTCTAAACATCCTAAGGCTGCCTTTACTGCCTTGCCTCATGTCACAAACCACAGTAATTAACCAATTTGTAACAATGTAATACCTGTCAAGCAGCTCTCACTGCTAATTAATGACTGGGCTTAAAAGATAAATCCCTAAAGCAGCACAGTGCTGTGTTACATGAGGGAGAGAAGGAGAGAAAGAGCTTAGCCTGAGGCTCTTATTGTCCATTACCACTTTTCTTTCCATCTTTTCTTCTCTCATTCTGTCTCTTTTGCTCTGTAATCATCTCCTATGTGGTTAACACAGGCTGTTCTTTACTGTACAATATATTTAGTCGACTTCATAAAGTACAATGCATATGTTCTATTAAATGCATAGATCTGGTTCTGAACTCTGGTCAATACTGTACTTCAGTTGTGCAAAAATACATGATATATTTCTGTATCACCATGTCACCATGCAGTACCCATAAAGGTTCTGTATTGGCATCTATGGTGTATCATGGAACATTTCTACTGGACAAAAGTTTCTTTATAGTGGAAAAACAAAATTAAAATGTTCTTCACATTAAGAAAAAATCATGGTTCTTTTAAGAACTGTCTACTGAATGTTTTTTTGGGGAACCCAAAATGGTTCTTCTATGGTATCACTGTGAAAAGCCCCTTTTAAATATAGAGATTAACTATCAACCTTGGTTTAATTTCAGGGAAAATACCTGCTAGTGGCAAAATAGCTTGTAATGAATTTGCTAGGAGCAATTTAAGCAGTTTTGCAAACTTCCACCATTTCGACAAAACACCCTCTCGCCAAAAACCCATTCCCAAAGACATCTCAGCAAAGCTAAACGTTAACATACAAAATTATTCAATGTTTCTAATTGGTTAAAAATATGTCAATCATCCCTCTGACTTCTTGTTTGCTATCAGTACATTTTATGTGTAATATAAAAAAAAGCCTGCTTTCAGCACCTAATTTAAAACGACCTACTAGTTTGTATATATCTGTGTCCATTTCTGATCTTAAAGGGTATTCACACACAGAGAGGGGACAGTGGCGAGGGCCCTTTCCAACAGCTAGTCAACGGTGGTCGTGGCGGGGATGCTCTCTTACTGAAATGTCAACACAGTAGGGTTACCGCACCGACGGCTTGATCAATGGCGCTCCCTTTTCTGCTCCAGGAGCGAGAACAAGCTTCGTTTGATTAAATATTTCTGAGCCGCTTAATGAAATACATTTACTCCCGAGTTAGCCTTGCGAACACGCCGCTAGCGTGAGGAAGGTGTATGGAGGCTTGTTAAAGTGATAGTGGAGTGTGTTCTCGCTATGGCTGAGTGACCTAACAGGATGTATCATTAACCGTGCTAACATGACCGAGGCTGTTGCTTAGCAAGTCATCCCGGCAGATCATTAACCGGGGCTGGCAAAGAGGCTAGCGCTAGGTGGATTAGCATACCTGAGCTCTCGGAGCGCTTCAAGATGTCTAAGGTGACATTTGATGCGTACAATTATAGCTGTGATTATTGGAATCTAGAACTGCAAAACCAGCTCTTGTGACTCAACTGCCAATGGAAACAGTGAATACTTTGGTTTTGTACCACTAAAAAAGAGACAACAGATATATCAACCATTAAACACAACATGCATACATTCTGAGGTCACATGAAGACACAAAGTCTTTCGTTTTACCTTTGATCTCTCCAAAGTTGCCAGAACCCATGGCCAATATCTTGTCCTTCCAGTCCTTAGACAACAGCCTCTCAATACTGGGGGCCTCTGGAGGGGAGACAGAGAGAGAGAGAGAGAATTACCACAGGCAGGCAACATCACAATATAGCTCATTTAAAGTCCATTTGCTGTAATAAAGGCCCGTCTCTCTAATGGCACCAACAGTAGGGCAGGAGGAAGAGAGGATGGAGAGAGAAAGACAGAGAGAGAGAGAGAGAGAGAGAGAGAGAGAGAGAGAGAGAGAGACAGAGAGAGAGAGAGAGAGAGAGAGTTGATCAGCTTCCTCACCTGCTGTTAGCCAATCATTAGCCCTATGCTCCAGCTAACACAAAGAGGCTCTTAATGCACCGGGTACAATGGACACATTATCGAGGCTGTGCGTTTTGTTTTTCTAATACACCCCGTGGACCCGCTAACCCCTCCACCCCACACGCTAATTACTAACCTGCCAAGGACGGACGTCTCAAACAAGAGAGAGAGAGAGGAAAATTAAAACAACTCTCAACACCCCCCTCTGTATTCCTCTCTAACACACACACACGTACCAGCATCACCATCACAACAATTAACTGCGATATGAAACAAAATGAGAGAAAGAGGGAGACACAAAGAGTGAAAGAGAAACACAAGGTTTGTATTTGTGGTAAATGACAGTGGTCAGTATTTTAGCAGGTTGAGAAATGACACACACACAACTTTAAATTCAGTTGTGATTTCCTTTTCCTTTGTTTAATTTTTATACTTTTTGTCATTCTACATCCTGTTGCTCAAATAGTAAAGCATTACACTTGCAATGGCAAGGTCATGGGTTCAATTCCATATTATTTTAGGTGATAAATCATGTTTGAAAAACATCTTTAAAAATCATTAAACCCTTTGGAATATTAAAATTGACATCGAAAAAAATGCAAAAATACATACAAACTAACTTTACATTCAATTACAATTTTATTTTACAAATTTTTATTTATTTATTTTTGTTATTCTTCATCCTGTAGCTTAAAAAGCAAAGCATGACGCTTGCAACAGCAATGTCATGGGTTCAGTTCTATATATCTTTATATGACAAACTGTATGCTGAATACATCTTTCTCTCATTTAACGTATGTATTCAGGCTCATTTAAATCTTAATCACCAAACGCTTCCGAATATGAAAATTCACATTTTCAAAAGCATAAGCAAAAACTTTAAATACACATATGCATAAACTCTACATTCAGTTATGATTTCCTTTTACTTTTCCATTTCCTGTCTTCATTCTTTTTTTTATTTATCCTGTACCTCAAATAGTAAAGCATGATGCTTGCAATTTGAAGGTCAAAGGTTTGATACCATATGATTTTATGTGATAAATCGTGTCTTTAAAAACATCTCATTTAAATCTTAATCACTAAAGCCTTCAGAATATGAATATGCACAACTTCAAAAGCAAACACACACACACTTAAACACTTCTCCACCAAAGTAAAAACACCAGGTGGCACCATTACCAATTCAGCTGGAGTTAAAACACTGAGCACTAACCTGTATCTTTGCGACTGATAGACTTGTACAGGCCCCAGGTGGGCGGCACACACTTACACTCAAAGACTTGCTAAATAGAAGAAGACTTGCCAAATATTTAATGTCTGATTAGTGGTCAAACTTTCTCAGTGGCATGTCTGCAATTTAAAGTTTATCGCATTCTTGTCTCTTGAGTATTTCTGAATATCCTCTGTGTTCCTGGTCTCCCCTTTGGACTTCAAAGTTTGACAGTTTCAGGCCTGTAAAAGACACAGCCTTTGGTTTATGGACACACTCCCTCACCATTCAGCCAATCACCTTCACTGCTGCTGTTTCTACTGACAGCTGTCTCACTGTCACCCCAACAGGTGTTATTAGCCCTCGGCCTTTTCTCTCTCTTTCCTCTATTCTGGCATCTGTGCGTAACAATGACAGAGGCTTTTAAGCCCGAGAGCTTTGACAAGTGAAAGGTTTCAACAAATGGCCACTCCATCTATCCCCCCTGCCTGCTCTCTCTCTCTTTCTGTCTCAGTATGTCACTTTCCCCCTCTCTCTCACCACAGCACTGTAATAGTTATTATTTTTATTTATTAACATGGCCGCTATTGTCCCTGCTGACAGCTCCTTCACTTTAACTATTAATAAAAATAGAAAGCCCTCTTTTAAGTGACAGCCCGCAGCGGGGATCTGCGCAATCGTTTACTGCAAAATGGACGGAGAAGGAAGCAGATATACTGATGTATCTGTCTTTCATGGCAGCTCCCCTGTCTTGATCTCGTTCTTCATACTCTCTTATGGTTTGGGAAGAAAAGGACTGTTGCGGTGCCCTTTGATAGAAGCACCTCTCACTTCAGCCTGTGATGTTGCTTTTAGTTTTTTCAATATGAAATATGACGCTTCAACATATGCTGGAATTATACAATGCTAGAATAGACTCTAACCTGCTACTTTATATCATGTAAGTATACTGATAATAAAGACTTGTATTTAAATGTAGTGTACTGAAAATCACAAATGAGATCTCTTTTAATATCTCAGTTGTTTCTTATAGCTAGCAATGAAATGGAATGGATTGAGCCTTTGAATGAACTGAGAATTTCTCTCAAAATTGTAAAAAATACTCCATTAATCTCACATAGGGCTGGGCGTTAATTCAATAACGATATGAAGAGTTCGATAAATGATCGATATAATGTTTATGCGCCAAAAGCGGAACGAAACAGTGCGACTCATTTGAATCGCGCCACACGGACCGTTTATCCGCTCGGATGCCGCGCAGCGCGAGCTCACTAGAGCAGATGCGTTTACTCGGTCACGCAAGCATTAAGCAGCGCTGTGAGATCCAGTGTGAAGTGCTTGAATTCAGCGATGAACACAAATGACTCGGTGAGTTAAACTAGTTTAAAGCCAAGCAGGAGAAACACTGTGCAACGAGACAGTCAGAAGGCTTTTCAATCTACAAATCGACATAATTTACCATGGATTTACTGTAGTAACACTCACTGCACCATGGTATTGTGGCAGAAATTTGGGATATAATAATAATAATAATACGTTTTATTTATATAGCGCTTTTCAAACACCCAAGGACACTTTACATAAGGTAAATAACATAGTATACAACATATAAACAGCCAAACAGCAGACAGAGGTGAAATAATATGCAATATACAAGATAAGTTACAAAAGCATAGAACAAAAAATTAAGGCAAGCAATTAATTAAGAAACATTGTGAATAGGTGAGTTTTGAGAGCAGTTTTAAAGGTCTTGAGTGAAGAGATAACACGGAGATCTTGTGGTAGTTTATTCCAGAACTTGGCAGCGGAAATGCAGAAAGCCCTACCACCCACACTAGATAGCCAGAATTTGGGTACTGCAAGCTAATTTTCAGAGCTCGATCTCAAAGTATGGGCAGGGACATAGGGGAGAATTAATTCAGAAAGGTAAGAAGGTGCTAACCCATGACGGGCCTTAAAAACTAAAACAAGAATCTTAAACTGAATACGATAGGTGACAGGGAGCCAATGTGATTGCTGTAAAACCGGAGTGATGTGGGCATATTTTTTGGTAAGTGTAAGAACACAAGCAGCTGAATTTTGGATAAGCTGCAAGCGATTAAGGACTTTGTTGGGTAGGCCATAAAACAAGGAGTTACAGTAATCCAGACGCGACGTAATAAACGCATGAACAACAGTTTCAGCATCTTTGAATTTTAAAGATGGTCGTAGGCGGACAATATTATGAAGGTGAAAAAAACTGGATTTGACAAGCTGATTGATGTGGGATTCAAAACGTAGACTAGAATCAAACATTATACCAAGATTGTGTATAGTGGAGGAGGGATGGACTATATATTCACACTGAATTTTATTAAAAGAATAATGGTATATAATTGTAGTATGTATTTGTGATTAAGCTATAGCATGTGTGCATTTATACTGAATGTTTTTAAACTACTGTTTTTCATACAAATAGGCTACCTAAAAACCATAGTTATATTTTTACCATGGTATTGAGGTGCTATATGTGTGGTTTTAACTGCGTTTATCACGATTTAAATGTATGCTACTATTGGAGACCAATGCTTAATTAAAAAAAAAATAAATAAAAAAATAAAAACTTGGTCAGAATAAATGTAACCATATAAAACTGAGGTTGCTACAATTTTTCACAGATGTTACTGATTTTGATAATGAACAAAAATTTACCTCTGCATCCTAACTCAAGCTACTATCAAATGTGCATTTCTAAGAGACAAAAAGTGATATTATTATTATTAATATTATCAGGCAACCCAAACTTGTTTCTTGATTTGAAACAATATCACTCATTAGAACATGAAACTAAAATTTTCTATTTAGATATTTATTTTGTTAAGGAAAATTAATGGTCTGGTTTCTACAACTTTCACTTTGGAGCAATAATTTGGCTTTAAACGTGAAAGAAATAAAGATTTGTCATTTATCGTGGTAATTATCGATATCGACTGATATCGTGATCATTTTTTTTTTGCTATATCGCCCAGCCCTAATCTCACAAATGTCTCCTTTAAAGTTTCAGAAGTGTCACATTATGCTCAGAATATATTACATACTTAAATGAAACCCATCTGAAAACTGAATGAGCAAACTTCTAGCTATAAAATGTTCTATAAAGATAAAAGATAAACATATTAACTGAAGGTTTAAATCCAATATTTGCTATGCGAATAGGTTATCAGCATTAAAATGATGTGCATTACAGAGAGAGAGAAAGAAAGAAGTGAGAGAGGGCAGAAACTTTGGGACTGCTTCCATTAGTATATTCCCAATACGGCAGCACAGCTTGTATGCATTAGTGTAAAGGGGTCTTGTTTGTGGCAGCTGGGTGGAATCCTGCGTATGCGCCCTTACGAGGTGGGGAGCACATTTTTGGTGGGACCAGTACTGCCTGAGGGGTACAACGGGGACAGAACAGTGTGACTCTTGGAAAAACACACAGCAAGGGTGTGTATGGGAGTAGGAGTGCCAAGATGTATTTCAATTAGACTTAAATCTAATTGAA